TTCGAATTTCCCGACCAAAATATTGAATTCTATAAAAATCGATTCTACCGAGCTGTTTCCAATTTTTCGGACGGAAACACGTTTTAAAATATAGTGTAATTTTAATGTCGGAGCGTGAACAAAAAAATGTCTGTTAAGAAAATTCATTTCATTTCATTAAATATATTCGCGAACATATTGTTCCTGAAGTTCAATTGACTGATAAATAATATGAAAAACGGAAGGTATTATCATTTAATGATAGATTTCTTTCAATTAAATACGAGAATATATAACTGTACCAGTGTTGATGAAAAATTGTTTTTAATTTAAACTGGCATAACTTTGTAAAAAAAAAAGAATCGTGTAACAATTCCACCTGGTACTTTACATCGAATAGCAGATGGGAGTGTAAAGATACTTTCCTCTCGAATGAATCGTAAAAATTCAAACCTATGTAAAAAAAGACTGTGTCAAAAAATATTTTTCGCAATTTAGGTCTGTCTACAAGTCATCTCTTCCACAACTCGCTGCAAAGAAGAAGATTTCTTTTTCATCGTTTTATTAAACTGTTGAGATTTCTCGAATTTTAACCTTCGTGTTCGAAGCACGATAAGATGAAAATTGCGCGGCTAGTTTCAAAGAGGATGCGATAACCTTCGAAACAATGGAAAAGAAATTTCCTCACGCGCGTTTGAATTATCACGCAATCACGCCCGTTTCCACCAAGGCTGGCACATTCTGAATCGATCTGATTAATTGGCACTTCGAAAGCCATTTGATTAGTTGTCTTTTACTCGACAAATGGGCACGCAAAACACCTTGTCTTCGTTTGCCAAAGTAAAACAGTCGCCGTGAAAATGACAAGCCTTCGGTTAACGAAGTCTAGGTTGCGGGCAAAGGGTTGAAATTGTTGTCGAAGGCGAAGAATACGCGGGAAATCTGAATCGACACAGTGTTGTAAATAGCTGGATCCCCTGTGTGTCCCTGGAAACAGTGGGATTATGGCTCTGTACACAGATGCACACTTACTCTTTGTGGTACGCCCATTCTTGCGCGGCCGTGCCTCGGGGAGCCTTGAGCTTGCGTTTGTTTCTCCTTCCTGTGCGTCTTTAATCCTCGAAGCAGTCGCGAAAATGTTGTCTTCTTCTTGCTGGTCGTTTGCCCTTGTTCTGAAACGGCAAGAGAACGGGAACATAAATATCGACCAGTGGCTACCAAGCGTTTGTTTTTCAAAGTTTTGAAATACAGTTCCATTGGCACGAAGTGTGCAGTAATTTCATGGCTGTTTTAACGATACAATTGATTCAAGACTGATGCAAAGCTCCATAATTTTTTTTTGTTTTTTATTTCGAGTCGATTTCAAGCATAAAAATTTAATAGACAAGCTTTTATTTATACATTTTATGAGAAATCTCTTCGCGAAATTGGTCATTTTTTGATGTTAAATAAAATAGCTGTAGAGTAATATGACTAATAATTCGTTTCATTTAATTAATTTCAAGGAGTACAGAAGCTTTTGTTTATACATTTTGTGAAAAATCGTACAAGTCTGTTATCAGTGTATAAAATTTCTATGGAAAGTTATAAATTCGTCATTTTTGGTTTTGTACTTGACTCGTGTATACGTAAATCGAATAATTTGTTTCATTTAACCGATTTTGCAATTTTATATTTCATACATTTCGTTCGGAATATTTGGAGAAACGACCCCATGTACCTTCGAGAAATCGTAAATATCGTTGGAGAAAATTTGATCGCGATCTTGTAAAAATATCACCCATCTTCGAAGTTCGCTTTACGAATTTTTCATCAATCAGAAGACTGGCCACACAGAAAATTGAAGCTGACGTTCGGTAATAAACTGTGACAAAATTTCCAATACACCAAATTTTTCTTTCTCTTTGACAAGTAACGTCTCCCGCGAGCCGGATCTCTTATTCACGAAATGAAAGTTTAGAAAAAGATGAACAATCTTCCCATCGTTGTCGTATATTTGAAGAGAACGTAAAATATCTTGAATGAGTTGCACAATAATCATACAGGTGACATAAAAATTCGTGACATTAACACGTTATGGTTTCTTCACAGTTCTATCGTTATAACATAATTATAATAGTTTAAAAACGAGCTTCGTTTACGCTGGCGTAACATTCCAATACTTACGAAGGAATTTTTTTAATTTTGTAATCTTTTTTAATAACATTCCATTCAATGCAGACTAAACAAAATCACAAGTGTGTCGACACTTCTTTGACACCCGAATTTTTATATTATCATACTACTTTTATAATTCGTTACGCAGTGAATGAATGTATTTTTACGAAAAAACAGATCAAACAGCTAGCCGTGTTAATGTACATCGTCGATCCACTGTATTCTTTCATCTCTCAAAATTAAGGATCGTTCGGCCATTGCAAGGGCGCGATAATATCGATATTGGTAATCCGGATTTTATCGACCGTAAGTTTGTATACTCTCTTACACGTGGCGGCACGTTCCGCTTGTATTCCTCGGCGCGCAATTGAATCACCTGGCTGCAATCAAGTGGAATTCCACTAACAAAAAAAAAAAAAAAAAAA